ACAAGGTATTTACCGTGATTGAGGAGTGAATAATGTTCCATTGTTATTCCCACTCGAATTATTCTCAACGTTTGAAATTTTGATTTATCAAGTAGATAGGATCAACGAATGAGGTTTCATCCCGGTAGTATAAAGTCTCTAGTGTAAGCGTAGAATAATATCTGATGTTGTTAGGTACCACATCATTGAAGTAATTTGTTTAAATTCATTTATACATTTGAAAAATTTTGGATATTGATTCAACTTTAGCTCGAAAAAATTGTCAAATTCTTGAAAAGTGTTCTGCTAGCGCGCATTATGACTGATGATGTTACATGAATCAGGAAGTGAAAGGTGACGAACGTGTGATAGGACGTGTTATACTCCAAAGCACATCACCAGCAAGTGTCACTTTTGCGTTGTCGAACGGTCAACGTGCGATTATCACTCCGACCGCTGTGAATAGTTGTTATACGAAAGCGTTGAATGATATTCGATCGTATCAGTTCAATGAGGTGAGTTCATATTCAACTCAACATTCTCTGCATTCGCTTACCACGATTACCACAGTGTGATCTAGAAACGTACAAACAATTAATATGTTTTGAATTGAAAATTTTGATGTTAGAATAGACGCACAAATTGAATCGTGAATGAAAGATTATTGCGAACATTTAAAAGAAAATTCGGATCTTAGTGGTTTCAAGTTGATCTTCAATGGTTTGGTTTTATTGGAATCAGTTTTTGCAAAGAACTAATGCAGTCGAAAATTTAGTTCAATCGTGCATCTATTGTTGTTGATGCTTTTGAAATATCAAGGACTGGCAATGTGATGGTCATATTTTGCAGGTTNATTTCATATATTTAATTCGATTCGACGATGAAGCAGGGCGATGGATAGCCGTGAGTGAGTCTCGTTATGACGAATGTTCCGCTCCTTCTGGAACTAAAAAAGTCACTGTTCGAAATCCACTTCTGAAGAGCGTTAATGATATTGAGGTGAATTTCTCATGCATCATAAAAGTTTTGACTGTTATTTACGTTTTGAAATGAGCAAATGATTTGCGAGATTTATTCAGCTGTTATTGTTTTTTGCATGGGAAGTAATAAGAAAGACGTTCTTGAATGAAACTGAAATGGTTCTGTATCTGAGTTCGTTGTTCCGTTGGTTTTTGCAACAGAAAAATTCATCTAACTTCGTTGATGACTGTTTATAATAAGTAATATTTCCTTCTCGTCTTTCAGGAGAATTCTTCGTTGGAAGGCTTCGTGAGCTCAACTTCTAATGATCACACTTACGTTGAAATAGCACCTGGAATTTCAGGACGTCTCGAGCAACGGAAGTATGCATTTTTTTTTTAAATAGAAAATATACACTGTTCATTCTCAGCCGAAAGTTTTATCTTCATTCCCTTTCCGTCTCAGTTTTAGTTAACTCGAATGGAATTAATTTGTCGATTTGTTTTTTCCACTAATTTGTTTATTTATTCATTCGTCTGTTCGGTTGATGGTACATCGAATCGATCGATTGTTCGAATTTGCTAATAAATGAAGTAATTTTAAGATGTCCGAC